ATTTATTGTTCTCCTGAACTTCATATACATTAAAATCCATTATTTGATCTTTTAAAGTGATATCTAAGAACTCCATATAAAGCCTAGATAAGCTTTTACTTGGCTACCTGATCTTATAGAGTCTTCTATTTATAGTAGTAATACTATGTTTTGAGTACTACTTATCTGTTTGGCTGCCATTTCCTCAAATTTGGATCACAGACAATGATAGGTATATAGTGTCAAAGAGAGATTTATAAATCAATAAAAAATAACCTTCCAAAATGTTGTCAAATTTCTCTTCTACATATATTTTTATGTTAAGTGCCACAAGAAAATTATTTCTGTTTGTTTGCTTTTGTTATTTCATGTCTTATTAGGTAGTCTGTGGGGATATTCCAGTCTTTGTGCTCAGACAGGGGTCACTTCCAGTGAAGTTTGAGGGATTCTGCAGTGATGGGGATTGAACAGGCAGGCAGCAGCTGCATGCAAGAAAGAGGCTTAACCCCTGTGCAATCTTTCCTTCTCTCAAATAATCTTTCTAATTCAACAAAACTAAAATATTTTATATAACATTCTGGTTTCTGCGCACCCTACACTACTCAGTGTTTACTCCTGAGCTGTGCTCTGGGAATACTCCTTGTGGTGTTTGGGGACCCTGTGTGGTGAGGGAGATCAAAGTGGCATAGGTTGCACACAAAACAAGCTCCTTAACCCCCTGTACATATTTTTAAAAATAACTTATCTAAAAGAGTTTGGATATTATTTTTCCTTATATGAGATTTTACTTTGAAAATTAAAGTCATCGCACATAGAAATATTTTATAAGACTTGGATCATGATTAGAAAATAAGCTCTAATTTTGATCATAAGAGCAAGAACCCCGAGTTTGCCCCTGTCTCCACACCAGCATATCTAATTTATTGTATGATGTGGTATGTATGTTGGGGAAAAAATTATTCTCTTTCAATTTGGATCTTTCAGTACCAAGTTTTTTTTCCCACTTCTTACTGACTCACTCCAGTATAAATCATTGTTCTTGCACCTGTGAATGATGACAGAAATGTGCAACTTGGTTCTCTATTCGCCCTTCTCGGTGCTTTTAATTTATCACAGAGTTCAGTGCGAGTTTGATATTTCATACTTCCTGCAAGGTGACTCTGCTTTGTCTATTTTTCGCTCAGAGAGAAATATTACTCTTTGTTATATTCTCTTAGGAGTCACCCAATACCTTCCATCACCTGACCACTGTACCACCATCTTTGCTTGGCCATTGTCACCATCACAGTTCAGTTGAAGAACATCAGTGTTGACTGAAGTCTTCTAGAATATAAACTCCACCACAGTTGAGACTGTTTTCTTCACTTCTGTCTATATATTGATCATATAACTTAATACATAATCCAGTGCTTCACATACTAAACAAAGAAAGAGATAATTATCTTTAAGACTTTTAGCTGCTAACAACTAGACTAGCTAGTCATCTTTCTGGTCAACTTGAAGCTCCCTAAATTGTTTATGTTTCCTTCTACTTAGGCAACCCCTTGAAACCTGGCTACCCTAAAGGCTATTCTCCATGTACTTGTATAAACACACAGACTATTCTGCTTTTGGCTTAAGTCCTATCCAGGGTTCCTTGAAATTCTATTATAGCTTGAAGGTCATCAATTCTATTTCTGTCTTAAGTTCATATTTAAGACCAAACAAAATATCCCTGTGGCATTCAAATATATTTTTTCTAAGGTCTTTATCTCCTCCCTCTAGTCTCAGCTTTCCTGTCTATTTGGAGAAATGATTCTAGAATTCAGACTGCTGACCTAGAATGCTTGGAGTGGGACTGGAGCAATAGGTCAACTCGGGTTCGATCCCTTATGATCCCCTGAGCACCTCCATGAGTGATTTCTGAGTTCAGAGCCAGGAGTAAGCCCTCAACATTGCTGGGTGTGACCCAAAATGCCCCCCAAAAAATAATGCTTGGAGTTTCTTCCTTACTGTAGGATAGTGTAGGCTGCTTAGTAATAATGGAGTAAAATGGGGGAGAGGGGAGATTGTGTTTCTTTTGATTAATTCTAGTTTTCATTTCCTTGAAAGATTCTTAGACACTTTTAAGAAGATATGATACACTGCCATTTAATGTATTCATTTAACACTTGCAAAGAACTGATTTTGATTATAGTCTCAGGATTGAGTGATCATCACCACAACCTAATTTGAGAACACTTTGTACTTCAAAAAAAAAGAAAATAAAACAACTCTGCACTAGTAGTCCCTCCTGTTCCTTCCCACCCCACCCCTGCCATAGACAATTATTAATCTACTTTCTATCTGCATGGTTTGTTGCTTCTAGACAGTTCATGTAGAAATTAGACAAGTCGGGATCTTCTGTGACTGGATTTATTTCTTCTCCTTCTTCCTTCTTCTTCCTCTATGTTTCCAAGATAACTATCTCACATCTCCCTCTGTACTCCCAAATTCCTTTCTGAGAGTCACTGTGCTCAGAAATCAGACTCCTTTCCACTATTTTCACAATTTCCCCAGAATTGTCCTTCCTCTTTGAAAAGTTTGTGCTGGAAATATAGGAGATAATTATTGGTATCAATATGTGTTTTTCTTTATTTTTCTAACTAATTTAAAGTTTCAGTGTCTTTGTCTTCTAATATGTTCTGTATGATTTTATTTGTTCATTGTGTTGTTCTTCTCTGGGTTTTTGGAAGATACATTGTGAAATTTGATTTACAGGGGATGACCTTGCTAACTACAAATTGCAATAACTTTTTTTTAAGGTTCTGTATATTTGTGGTCCCAATATTTATAAATTAGTTCAGGATTTTACTATTTAACTGATGATAATAATTTAGGATTTTATACACTTTTTCCATGAGAATGTAACTCTATAAAAACCTTCTCTCAGAGATTACGTTTTAAGGCTATGAGTCAATATGATAGTTTCTTTCGTCATGGATAGGCTAGTCAGTTTGTAGCTGTGTGGTAGGATTAGGGCTCCCAAGATAGCAGGGGGTGAAGCTGAAAGATTTCCCATTGCTTATGCTTGATAGAACTTGCAAAGCTTTATTTCCATTGTATCCAGTGGTCAAAAAAATAAAATAAAAAGCAAGTAATGAAGTCAGTTTTAAGGAGTGAGGAAACAGATTTGATTCTGTTTTGTGTGTTTGGATTTTGTTGGAGAGCATTTTGAGTCACAGACATTGTGCTCAGGGCTTGCTTCTGGCTCTGTGCTCAGGGGTCACTCTTGGTGGTACTCAGGGGACTATATGCAATGCTGGGGATTGAACCACTGTCAGCACATGCAAGGCAAGAGCCCTAACTTCTGTACAACTCTTCAGTCCTAGATTCTATTTCTTGAAGGCAGGAACTTCAACCTGTACTCCTTTTCTCTTTTTCCTGGTCTCTTAAATCCAGTAAATTCATTTCTATTCCAAGGCTCTCTCGATGAAAACTCCTGAGATAAACAGCTAGACAAACAGATCTTTACTTAAGTTAGTTAAGTTCTGTGTGTGAAATTTAGCAATCTTTATACAAATGCTGAAACTTGAAATGATTCTTGAATAATGAGTTCCCCAGATACAAAGTTTTAAAATTGCATCCTGATATAAGGGAAAAATATGTGAACATGTATAGATTTGGGAACAATGGGGAAATCAACATGGTTAGATGGTGGAGTAGAAAAATGTGCACTGTGTTAAAACTGGAGGATTATTCCAATAGTCAAGTCTCTGTGTCAAAGCAAGAGCTCTATTACTTAGCTTCACTCTTGAATATATTGCTTCACAAGAGGAAGCAGTAAGGTAGAATTACCACTATTCTAGAAAAATATTTTTTCTCACCCAGAACAGGAAATCTGAACAAACACAAATCCTGTAAATTGCTGCATAACAAGAGATTCTATGGAAATTTAGGGGATAGGAACTGGGTTATTATGCCTAGAGTATAATCACATCATGATCTGGAACTCTGGGATCAAGAAAAAATTCCAGGAGTTTGTATAGGCTAAGTCATCAGTGACTTAGAGACAGAGGGGACAGGAGTTCAGGAAGCACAGCGTAAATCAATCAGCCCCAGATAGATGATTCTAGCCAGCACTTCCTGACTCCAGTGAGCAGAGGAAGTGAGCCATCATGAAGCCTGCAGGTGGCAGACATCCCTGGGTTTGATGAAAGCAGAGGAAAAGGAAAATCAAGGTGACTGCAATTTTTGATCAAATTTTGGCACATTCTATACAAAATGATGTACTTTAAAAGGATATAATCTCTGGGTTATAGTTGCAAACCTATAAAAAATTAATGTGCTCAGCATGGCCTTTTAAACCATGAGGCATTTTTATTACTTGTGTCTTAAAGTTGCTAACATAGACTTAGCTTTGTGGAATGTGACAACAGAAAATGTCATTCTGTGTCCTTTCATTTTACTTTCACTGATCTGTAGACACCCACTACCATCTTCAAATTCTTTTGTTAAAAATTTGCTGGAGCCTGGAGCAATAGCACAGCGGTAGGGCATTTGCCTTGCACATAGCTGACCTGGGCTGGATTCCCAGCATCCCATAAGGTCCTCTGAGCACCATCCCCTAATCCACGGGGTGTGGTTCCTGAATGCAGAGCCAAGAATAACTTCTGAGTGCAGAGCCAGGAGTAACCCCTGTGCATTGCTGAGTGTGACCCAAAAAGATATATATATATATATATATATATATGTATATATATATATGATTTGTGGCCTGATAGTATAGCAGTTAGGGCACTTGCCTTGCATGCTCCCTGCCTGCTGTACTGTTGACCTGGGTTTGATCCCTGGCACCTTATTTGAACCCTAGATCCCACCGGGTGTGATCCTTGAGCACATACCAGGAATCAGCCCTGAATACCTATGGGTGTCCCCTCCCCATAATTGTTTTGAATTAATTCTCTGTTCCCTACTACTATTGTTTATGCATTCTGACCCGTTTCTAGCTGATTGATTGCCTATTAAGAGCTCAAATGGTCTGTTTGTTTTTTCTGTTTCAGAGGACCTTATAATATCCTTCACTGTGTCCATGGCAATTGGGCTAGTCATTGGAGGACTGATTTGGGCTCTCTTGGTTTGTTTGTCTCGAAGAAGGGCCAGCGCCCCCATCTCCCAGTGGAGCTCCAACCGCCGGCTGAGGTCCTCCTACATCAACAGAACTGGATTTTACCGTCACAGTGGCTGTGAACGGCGGAGCAACCTCAGCTTGGCCAGTCTCACGTTCCAGAGACAAGCTTCCATGGACCAAACCAACTCCTTCCCACGAAAATCCAGCTTCAGGGCTTCGACGTTCCACCCGTTTCTGCAAAGTCCACCCCTTCCCGTGGAATCTGACAGTCAGTTGATGGCTCTCTCTAGTTCCGGCATCTCCCCGACCATGCACAGTGCCCACAGCCTGAGCCGCCCTGATTTCCACTGGTCCAGCAACAACCTGCGACTGGGCCTTTCAACCCCGCCCCCGCCTGCCTATGAGTCCATCATAAAAGCCTTCCCAGACTCCTGAGTTAGGGAGCTTGTCCTATATTTTGTTACTTTTTATTTTTTTGTCTTTTTAAAGGGAAATCATAAATATGGTAAAAAGAAATCATTTTGATGACATAGTCCAAATAAAATGAATAGTCAAGCTAAAACAGTACCGAGTATTACCAGATAAACTATTATGGATAGGTTTTTCCCTTATGTCTCACTTTAACAAATGCAATCATTTTCCATTTCTGTGTAGTTATATATTGTTGTCTTTTGTACTCATTGTGAGATTTGAGAAAGATTACGATTCTAATCTAAGAATCAACTGTGATGACCTCTTCTATGTACTAAACTATTTAGATATTTTGTCGTTTACAAATCTCACTTTTCAAAGTGAATAAATATATAATGAGGTAAAATCAGTATTTTCCTTAAGAAACATACTGCTCTCTTAATGATTTTTACTTTGCTTAGAGTGACAAGAAACCAGTTAAGACTATGAGACTTCTTGGGGCCTTAGAGACTGTACAAGTGGTAGGGCATTTGCCATACATGCTGCAAAGCCAGGTTTGTTTCTTGGCATCCCATAGGGTTCCCTAGCTCACCGGGAGTGGTTCCTGAATGCAGAGCCAGGAATAACTTCTGAGCACCACACTGTGTTGGAGCCCAAACAGAAACAAAACAAAACGCAAAAAGAATCTTGCACTTGTAGGGCAGGGAGATAAGCCCAGTGGCAGAACAAAGACTTAGTGTCCGTAAGGCCCTGGGACTTTCCCTTCAGTCCCTCACTCCACACCCCCAACCCCATCACAAGCCCCTCCTGTCACATGCTGCGGCCCTGGTGGCCCCCAAGTGCCAGACACCGGTATGACTTTGGTGGCCCACAGCTTGCGTCAGGCTGTGTTCTGCTAGACATGGACCTTAAAACTGTGTGACTTCTAATGAACTCTTAGGACAAAGGAGACGCTGAAGTTGCTCAACTTCCCTCATTTAGAAGAGAATCAAAGGAAACTGACCTTGGTGGTGTTGGAGACCATTTCCACTTTGACAGTTTTTGCCAGACTTCTCTTGTACTTTTGCCAAGATGACTATCCATATCTTGGAGGCAAATGTTTTAGGTTTACTAACATGATTTAACTTTACTTCACTGCTTTTGTTGGGTTGTTCGAGAATCAGCAAGAGCAAATACAATTCTTGTGTCCCACAGTCAACCTTAGCATTTTGAGTTTTCGTTATTATTCCTAACGGATTTTTTTCTTTATAAATCTAGCAACTGTAAAAGCACTTTAGGGATCTTCTTCGGTAACTTCAGAGATAAGTGAGCCTCCCTGAGTAAGAAAGTGTATTCTTGAAAACAGATGCCACGTATTTGCGAAGAAATCTTTCTATATTGACTTCTCAGAGAGCATCTGTTGTTTGTTCTGGATTTCAAACTCAGATTCTCTGAAGAGTCCTTGGAAATGATTAAGCCAATGATGCAATCTCGTTTTTGGTGCCATGCTGGAAGTATTCCACTGCCATAGGTGGGCGCCCTGTTAAAAGAAGTTCCCTCTCCCCAGATGGATACCAGCAATATTTTCCAACCTTGTTTGCTATTTTATTTTTGAACAGCAAATCACCAAAGTCTTCTTCAAAAGGCCTGTAGATGGGACTGGAGCAATAACACAGCGGGTAGGGTGTTTGCCTTGCACACGGCCGACCCAGATTCAATCCCCTGAATCCCCTGTGGTTCCCCAAGCACTGCCAGGAGTGAGTCCTGAGTGCAGAGCCTAAAGTAATTCCTGAGCATTGATGGGTGTGACCCCTCCAAAAAAAGGCCTGTAGATGAATTGTATTGGCGCCAAGGTTTAGATTATGTTGCTATTTGCTTGTTTCTCTGAACTTTTCAGTGAAGAAAAATGTATTTTTAGTTCCTGCAATGCAGTGGTCACAGCAAATAGTGTCTATGGCTCAAGAATGTAGTATTTTGATATAATAAGAGATTCCATATAACATTGTCTGTATTGTTTTCATTTAGCTTATATTATTCATTATTCCTCAGGACATTTATTTTTAATGTTGTTTGATGAAATATATCTGAAAGGAAGGAGAAAAAAAGTAAAGATATGCGGAAAAGAATAAAAATATGCTCAAAGGATGGATGATTTATTAAAACTAGATTTGGTGCTGATGGGGAAGGGTATTTCTGGACCACATCCGTCTCTTGGCTTCACACTTCAGAGATCACTCCTATTGTGTTCAAAAGACCATATGGGGTACAAGGGCCTGGCTGAGCAGGGTGCAAAGCAAGAGCCCTTCCCATTGGACTATGTCTTTGGCCGTGTAACTTTATTTTTAATAAAGAAATTTACCAGGGCTGGAGTGATATGACAGCAAAAAGGGTGCTTGCCTTTCACACAGGGACCCAAGTTCAATACCCAGCATCTCATATGACCCCCTAAGCTATCCAGGAGTGATCTCAGAACACAGAGCCTGTAGCAAGCCCTGAGTACCACCGGGTGTGGCCCCCAAAACAAAAAATAAATTTACCAATTTTCATATAGCCAACTAGGATTTTTTAAGAGAGAGTTAGGGAAAGCCTGAGATATGATCTCAAACAGAGACAGAAAAGATTTTATTAATAATAACAGTAATAACAAAGCTGATATTTTAGTGCTGAAAAATGGATGACTTATTTCTAGGGATTTAAGGGACTTCAGATTCCTTTCAGAAACTTTAAATTAGCAGCTTACATTTGGAAATTTTTCTTACACATCAAAATATAAAATCAAGGCAAAGGAGAATATTTTATTTTTTCTTTGAATTGAATTTAGTTTTAGGCACTGTGATTTACAAGACTGTTAATAATATAATTTTATACTAGGTTTTGTTTTAGGTAAATATTCTAGCACCACATCCTCCACTAGAGTGTCAGCTTCCCTCCACCACTGACAAGGCTATATATTTTTTTTTTTGCTTGCATGTCATCCTGGATATTTAACATGAGAAATAAGCAAAGTGCATGGTTTTCATCTAGAATTTATAGCAGGGGTAAAAGCTGCTTTATATCTCTCAAATTAAGAAAATGAGAACAGAAATTCTCTGGTGTATTTAACCATCTAGCAGAATTATGTTTCCTTCCCATCATTATGGAACACTCAAAATGAGTATATTGTAAATATTGTGCAAGGCATAAAATAGTAAATTAAAGTAAAAGGTGAACAATATTTAGTTGTACTTGTTTTATTTGAATTTTTGTTACTTATGAACTAAAATTAAACTGAGGTCAATGTTGTTTCACAGCTTATTGACTTATCAATGAATATCTCCTTTATACCTGAGTATTTTAACCCAATCTACCATTCTCAAAATACTATGTAAACTCTATTTTATATAAACATAAAAATAAATATAACAATAAACTCAACAAGAATTTTTAATGAATTAATGGAGATAAAATAGAAGTTATTTATTAAAAGGGTAATTTTATCACTACAATAATAACTCCATACTTACTAATGAATTTTTAATTGAATAAACATTTTAAATATAGATAATATTTAAGTAGAGAAATTGAGATGTCTAGCAAATCTCTGAACTACAAAAGGGTCACCTTTAAGAATCAAAGGATGGAATAATTAGAAAGTAAAATATTAGTAACCCTCGCTAAATTTTGAAATCAAAATATAAAAAAAAAGTAACCAATGTTAAAGTGAGCATTTGGCAAACAAGTGAACAATATTTTCATTTAAGACTAATACACAAGTAGACATGGGAAACACTCAGTTATGAATAGAGAGAGGTGTTAAGTACCAATCCAAATAAATCATCAAGGGGAGAATTTGGTAGACTAACAAAAATAAGGCAAAATAGTCAATGTTACTAGGAATTGCCCATATACATTTAAATGTTATGCTAGCATCTTGGTCAGCCACAAAAGCTGACCATTTATAAAAGAAGAAATCTTTTCATTAACAAATAACAAAAAGGATGCTTCTCTAGTCTTTACACTTTTAATTACCTTCCCTAATACTTTCTAAAACACCGCTCAGTGTGTAGAACTAGCTAGGATCCGCAGTATTCTCTGCACAGTGTACCCTAAAACTGTACCAAAACATCTGTGAGTTTTAATTTATATATGGCATTGAGAAAATGCTCTAAGAGCTCTATAATTCTTAACTGTGGGACTTCCTGGGTTTTTATAGCTTTTTATTCCAGAAGGGCAGCCTTGATACAACATAACAATAAACTCAACAAGAATTTTCAATGAGCTAATGCAGATACAGTATAAGGAAGTTATTTGTTAAAAAGAGTCATTTAAATCCTAATATCACTACAATAATTTCATAATTATTAATGAACTTTTAAATAGAACATACGTACTTTTGACTAGGTATATTTCTTCCGTACAATTATGTATGCATTAGACTGCAGCATACTGATTTGGGATAAATGTCACTCTGAAAGAGATTCTTCCTATGTAATTATTGTACAATAATGACTACTTGAGAATTACTATTCAGCTTATTGGAACTATTCATGGAAAGGTCCCGAATTCATGTGTGTGTTCATGAATTTTGTAAAACATTTTTAAAAACAACAAAAAAGATATATATATATATATATATATATATATATATATGTATTACTCACCTGCTTTAGATGTGCCCCAAGGCTAAGGCAGTGTTAGGGGGAGACATACATTATCTGCCTAATCTAATTTAGATGGTAACTATGTTCTGTGATGGTGAAATGTTTGTCATTCTGATTCAGGTGGATCACAGAAGAGCTTTGAGTATTACATACTGAACAGTTGTCAGTATTATAGCTATAGTTTCGGAGTGATTTCAAGGGGTGAAGAGATGAAAGAGACATCTGATCTCTCCCAAAATCTCAATAAAATAGAGATAGAGAATGATCCTGTAAGTAACACTAGCAATAATGGTGCTCTGGTAACGTGTCTTTGGGAGGATAGATCTTGATTCTAAATTAAATGACCAGGAGTAGTTGGAAACACAGACAGGGCTTATATGTGTCACTTTCACAGAAATTGTATTTTTCACTTTGAGAATACTGAAAACTGACTAAAGAAATGGATGAGCTTATAAATTGAAGATTTTTCAGAGCGCCAGATAGTCCATGATTAGAGAGGGTCTTTAGTTTTTTAAAATAAGACTTATAAAGAAATCCTGCTTTAGTTAACGGTATACTGCACCCGAGCTAAATGTCAATCTGTGTTATTAGCTACAAGCAAGTGAGGAGAAACTAAGAAAGCAAATAGCAAAAGTTGAATAGCCAAATGGTTCTGAAAATCTCAGCATAAAGGCATGACTGGAATAGTCTACAGTATGTGTTCAGAGATGATGAAACTGAGAAACAACATTGACAATATTTGTGACAGTAAATGATTTTATTTATGTAAAGAACTTAAGATGAGTGGGAAAGTCTAAGAGAAATGACAAACTTACTGCCAAAATGAACATACAAATTCTAAATAGAAATGGAAAACTTCATCTAAATTAAAAGTAAGAAAATCTGAAACGCTTATTAAGAATTCTAAAAGATGGGGCTCGAGAGATAATACAGCAGGTAGGCATCTGCCTTGCACGCAACCAACCCCGGTTCTATCCCTGGCTTCCCAAGCACCACCAAGAGTGATTCCTGAGTGCAGAGCCACTGATCACCACTGTGATCCAAAACAAACAAAGAAAAAGAATTCTAAAAGAAGAACAACAATGCAGAGTAGATTGATAAGGGATAAGAAGAGAAAAATGTGTTTTCCAGTTCAGGGACACCTAGTAATGTGGTCAAAAACAGGTTAAATGGAGGAAATACTTCACAGATAATACAAATATTCAGTCTGAAGAGAAAAGAGCTAAAGATATCAGTAGAGGAGTATGAATATTTTACCTGTCCTACTACAAACAGTTGCTAGTCAATAGATTTGACAGACCACAAAGAAATAATAACCTGCCCAACAGTGACTATTCTAACAGGGTTTTAGTTGAAGTTTGAAGAGAAACATTGAAATTTATGAAAAAAAATTAGGCAGATAAATATTACATATATAATCTCACACAGGACTGACAATGTAACAATAGCAATAGAGAGTCCTGTTGATACAATTGGGATTTTTTTCTAACACATTCATGTCTTGAAGTAACCAAGAATACTTGTCTCGGGGCTGGAGCGATAGCAGAGCAGGTAGGGCATTTGCCTTGCATGCAGCCGACCCGGGTTTGATTCCCAGCGTCCCATATGGTCCCCTGAGCACCGCCAGGGGTGATTCCTGAGTGCAGAACAAGGAGTAACCCCTATGCATCACCAGGTGTGATTCAAAAAGCAAAAAAAAAAAAAAGAATACTTGTCTCAAGCCAGCAAGATGGAACAATGGATAGGGTGCTTCTCTCACACGTGGCCAACCTGGGTTAAATCACTGAACCTTGCCAGGAGTGATTCCTGAGTATAGAGTCATCCCTCTGCACCACCTAGTATGATCCCAAGACAAATAAACAAAAAGAATAAATTGTCTCAAATTAAGAAAAATACTTAATTATGTATTAAAACCACAAGAAAAATGAACAACAGAAGTCCCTATTTTTTTTTTGTTTTTTGGGTCACACCTGGCGATGCACAGGTGTTAGTCCTGGATCTGCACTCAGGAGTTACTCCTAGCGGAGCTCAGGGGACCATATGGGACACTGGGAATCAAACCCGGGTTGGCCGTGTGCAAGGCAAACACCCTACCCACTATGCTTTCTCTCCAGCCCCAGAAGTCCCTAATTTTAATGCAAGTAATAACTGAGTTGCTGTCCTCTTAAAGAACTAATTGTTAATTTTTAAAAAGTTTTTCATTGAATCACTATGAGATACACGGTTACAAAGTTGTTCATGATTGAGTTTCAGTCCTACTATGGTCCAACATACTTTCCCTGCATGTAGTTACCCCAGTTCAATCCTTGGTACTCCCTATGGCGTGATCTCTGAGTATGGAGTCAGGAGTAAGCCCTGAGTACCACGGAGTCTAACTCATAAAACAAAAAACTTTCTCCAGATTAAAATAGCATGCTGAAGAAACTGGCATGCACTGGTGAAGGGATGGGTACTTGATCATTGTATAACTGAGACCCAAGCACAAAAATGTGTAAGTCTACAACTGTACCTCATGGTGTTTCACTAATTAAAATAAATAAATAAATAAATAAATAAATAAATAAAAATAAAGATTAGATTTTCAGCTTTCATGAAAACCATCTCAATAGAAAAAAATCATTGGTTCCAATCTCATTGATTGAACCAGCAAGGCCTCTGACCGAGTAAAACCCAGTCACCTTTTGCAAATGATTTTGTGCCAGAGATTCCAAGCGTCAGGCCTATGGCTCTCCATCTCACTCTGCCTTTCCTCTGAAATGAAATGACAAGGTCAAGTACAGCCTTGGGAAAGGCTTTACTCATTATGATGCTCTCTCGTTCTCAACCAGGAAGCTTGTACAGAGAGAAGGCAAGACCATCCAGCAGCTATAACACTTGTTACATCTTGGCGTCTGTTTCAAAACTTGGACCTTAGGGTCCACGGCTTGCAGTTTTTAACTCTTCAAACCAAATTTCCAATCTCCTTCCATATATTTCTTCTGAACCAAGTATGGATTCCACTGGATTCCTTTTCGAAAGTTCTTGGAGTGAAAAGTTGTGTGCAATGAATATCAGATTTAAAAGTTAAATCTTTCAATGTTGAAGTGTTGCCTGATTTTCATCTTGGCGAGATGTTTCCATTCCTCTGACAGGAACAGAACGTAGCCGGAAGTGATGTTCTCTGAATAGATGCAGATGGAGCTTCTACTTCTACATGGTGACTTTTTGGTCCTATTCTACCCCTAAACAGGTGCTCTTCGAGACTATTCCCCATACTTGTTGTAGAGGCTACACTTCAGAAACATTTCTGATGTGCTTTGACTTCTTTTAATTCTTTTCTTCCGGAGGAAAATATTTCACTCTATTAGGTTAATTCCACCCCAAGGTATTTGCATAAATGGAGTTGATCTGGTCTTTGACGTTATCTTCCTGAAGGATCTCTGATTGCTCACTCAAGCAAATTGCAGGCTCATGATCTCATTCAATCTTGTGCTATCTTTACCAAATCAAATCTGTAAAGTTCACTTGCGATGTAATGTATTGTCTTTGAGTCATCTCGGTGTTTTGACTTCATAAGCGTAAACTGAAAATTCCT